AGGGTTTGAAGGATCATCTAGCAGGCCACCTAATAAGTATAATGGTTTTAATGACTACTCCAATTCCAAGTATGGAAGAGGTGGTGATGGACGCATCCAATTTGGTGAAAGATTTTCCCAATCTGATGGAAATGCTCTGGGAATGAGGGGAAGAGGGCCATCTTGGAGATCTGACATGTCTGAAGGGTGGGATCTTCCTGGTTATGGTGCTTCTAGAAATAATAGCCAGGTTTCCTCAAGGAGGGCTTTTGGAGGTAGTTCTGCTGATGGAAGATCACCGAAATCTGTGCATGAGAGTGATCAGTCAGGAAACAGGAGAGCTTGGGATAAAGCAGCACTGCCCATCCGGCTTGGTGAGGGACCATCTGCCAGAAGTGTCTGGCAAGCTTCCAAGGATGAAGCTACCTTGGAAGCAATTCGAGTTGCTGGTGAGGACAATGGAGCATCTCGAGCAACGAGGGTAGCAATCCCTGAAATGACCGCAGAAGCTCTGTCTGATGACAATGTTGGGCTAGAGAGGGATGCCATCTGGACTTCTTGGACTAATGCAATGGATGCCCTTCAAGTAGGTGACACAGATTCAGCCTTTGCAGAAGTATTGTCCACTGGTGATGATATTTTGCTTGTAAAGCTAATGGACAGAACAGGTCCTGTAATTGACCAACTTTCAAGTGAAGTTGCATGTGAAATTGTGAATGCCATTGGGCAATTCTTGCTGGACCAGAACATGTATGACATCTGTTTGTCTTGGATTCAACAGGTATGACTTTTTCTTCTGTTTGAATTTCCGTTCTTCTTGTCTGAATATGTGTATTCTGTAGTCACATGAATCCTCTCATCAAAATAGCACCTTAAAATAATTAGGGATGATTTTGGTATTTCTTTATATTTTTTCAGTGTCAACACTAGTATAGTATGAAACCATGAAATAGATCTTCATCTAGAAAAATTATTATACATTGTTAAAGGGTTTCATGACTCGTCTGTGTAATCCTGTCTCAAGATCTGGTTTTCAAATTGCTACAAGATCACAACTCCTGTGGATTATAAGTGAAAAATCTCATCTTTTAGGCGGTGTGGCCATTAATGTTTTCTTGCGTCAATGTTTTGTTGGAGGGCTTGCTTACATGTTTCTTCTTTATAATTTATCAGCTAGACAATTGACTTAGTGCAGTGACGGAGAACCCGCTACTTCATTAAATATCTGTTACTCAAACCATAATTTATGCCTCTTTAAGCAGTCACTGAGATATTAATTATTTTTTGGGCGAGTTTCGTGTCCTTGTCTGCATTAGCATGACTCAATAGTTGTGAGCAATGCCAGGGACTGTCAGGTGCACTCTTTTTTATTGGTAGATGGTCCAGATCTTAAGCGTTTCATGTTCAGCAAGGCTCTTCGAAAGGGAAATATCGGGTGTATTTGGCAATCAACATTGATTTAATTTAATGTGCTACTTAGACTTAACCTACCAAAACCCAAGGTTGGATAATATAACCCTTAGTCCCTTTCCATAACATGGTTTG